TAGCTAGAATGATATTGTTTTATAAAAACAAAAGTATGATCAAATCTCTCTCTAACTTAAAAAACTTCTAGTAATGTTCCCTACTACCAGGATGAAGTCATAATTATTTTTTTTAATTTTACTTTTCTTTTTTTAAATTTACATCCAAATTAGTTAGCATATAGTGCAACAATGATTTCAGGAGTAGATTTCTTAGTGCCCCTTACCCATTTAGCCCATCCCCCCTCTCACAACCCCTCCCGTAACCCTCAGTTTGTTCTCCATGTTTAAGAGTCTCTTCTGTTTTGTCCCCCTCCCTGTTTTTATATTATTTTGTTTCCCTTCCCTTATGTTCATCTGTTTTGTCTCTTAAAGTCTTCATATGAGTGAAGTCATATGATTTTTGTCTTTCTCTGACTAATTTCACTTAGCATAATACCCTCCAGTTCCATCCACATAGATGCAAATGGCAAGATTTCATTCTTTTTGATTGCTGAGTAATACTCCATTGTATATATATACCACATCTTCTTTATCCATTCACCCATCAATGGACATTTGGGCTCTTTCCATACTTTGGCTATTGTTGATAGTGCTGCTGTAATATTGGGGTGCATGTGTCCCTTCAAAACAGCACACCTGTATCCTATGGATAAATGCCTAGTAGTGCAATTGCTCAGTCATAGGTTAGTTCTATTTTTAATTTTTGAGGAACCTCCATACTGTTTTCCAGAGTGGCTGCACCAGCTTGCATTCCCAGAAGTCACAATTCTTTAATATTGCTCACAAAGCCTGTATAACCTGGGCCTTATTTCTCTCTCCAGATTCATCTTGGCAACTCTTTGTTCATAATGCTGCAGTAGCACTGACTTTTTTTGCTCATGGAAGTCATTGAGCTTTGTACAGCCTCAGGACCTTTGCACATAATATTCCCTCTGTCCAGAAGGCTCACTCCACAACTTTCCACCTGACCAATTCCTCCTTATACTTCAGCTCTCTAATTAATTTGTGACTTATTCACTGACACCTACCCAAACACTGCAAACTAGGTTAGGTCTTTCTGTTTTATACTTTCATAATACCCTGTACTTTGTCATGGCTGTACTTATCACGAACCTAATTAAATGATAGTTGTTTAGTTATTGAATATCTAGCTCTTTGGGTTGTGAGCTCCATGAGATCAAGAACTTATATCTTATGTTCAAAGCTATAAATCAATTATATAGTACAGTTAAAAGCACATAGCAGGCACTCAGTAAATAATGAATGTCCATTAATTATCCATATTTGCATCTTTGGTCATAGATCTGTGCATATGAATGCTATATATCTATATCTATATCTATATCTATATCTATATCTATATCTATATCTATATCTATCTATCTATATATATCTAGAACAAAAGAAATGTAGCTGATTTACTGCATTCTCTTTGGTAGCTGGAGGTTTTTTGTTTTGTTTTTCGTTTTGTTTTGTTGTGTGTGTTTTTTTTTTTTTTGCCTTATTTTCTGAGGGAGACTCACCATGATAAATTTTCTTCAAGTTTGGCGTGAAAAAACCTTTTTTTCAAGGTTTATCCATACAAAAAGAGCATGTCAACTATAAAGGATAGGGTAAATCAGGCTGTTAGCAATCTCCATATCAAAATTTAATGTTAAAAGAAAATGACGCAATAGCCTATAAAGCACACAGGCAAGAAAAAAAGTGTGATGCAAGATTGTAACATTCAGTACGGTGTCTTGAGACATAAAAGTTAAGAGAATGAAGAAAATGAATTAAATCTTAAATTTCTATTTCCATTTATGATGGGCTAGATTATTCAGACCAATATGTCCATAGATAATGAATAAAGATGCTGAATGAACTATATACATATATAAAAATTCCTCCAAGGCACAAAATTGCTGACAAGATAGTAAAAACTATTAGGCCAAAAGCTAAGAAAAGGTGGAAGCCCAGAAAAAGTGGAGTACAAGAGCACAAAAGCTACTCTTGCCTTGAGGACATTTTCTAGACAGGGACATCTAGCATTGTTTTTAGTAGGTTCACTGGGCATGGAAAGAGCAGACAAGGTCCAGGGCTACCCAAGGTGAAAATGCTTTAGGTGGACTCTTCCTATATTAGTTTGGGACTCCATAGGCTATACCGTAAGGATAAGGGTGAACCAGTACCCAAGAACTTTAGAAAATGTTGTTTTTTACATGGACTATAATAGGAGAAAAAAAATAAAAGCATCTCTCCCTATCCCATTTTTGAGCAGATATGGCCACCACACAGCTCGTGCTTAGATTTGTAGCCTGGGTTAGCAATGACTCAAGGAACCTCAATCCATGAAAACAGGTCTTACTGAGAAAGCCCTGGGGCACCTGGGTGGCTCAGTTGGTTAAGCATCCAACTTTGACTCAGGTCATGATCTCACGTTTTGTGAGTTTGAGCCCCATTTGGGGCTCTGTGCTGACAGCTCAGAGCATGGAACCTGCTTCAGATTCTGTGTCTCCGTCTATCTCTGCCCTTTCCCCCACTCACACTCTGTCTCTCTCTCTCTCTCTCTCAAAAATAAACGTTAAGAAAGCCTCAAGGCACTTAGCAGGAGCAAACAAAAATCATTTTTTTCCCCCCCAAGAAGCCACAAATACTTTCCTTCACAAATAGTTTTTCAAGGATAAGAAGTAAACATACAAGGAAACTAGATACCACAAACAACACACAGCAAAAATATCAGGCAGCAGAAATAAATCAGAAAATAATTGAGACATTAGAATTATGATACAGATTACAAAAGAACTATGATTACTATGTTTAAAGAAATAAAACAACACAACTACCAATGCAGGAAATAGGAGAGAGGAACATGTTGAAATGCTCCATATACATGCAATTGGCAAAATCCAGACTGGAGGAAACTCTGTATTGTCAAAGAACCCAGGTTAGTTAACAAAAAATTGTAAGGAAGAGAAAGCTTTAAAATTTGAAGATTATCATGTTAATTTCCCCGTTATTCCTGGTTTTTCATGAACATTTCTCATAAATAAGTGTTTCATTTCTTCTACATTTTTTTTAGAGGACATTCTCCACATTAACCATTAGTACCTTGAATTTTGATGTTAAAACAACCTAACTTGCTTGTAATGTATTGTTCTTTCTATACAATCCTGGATTTAGTTAATATTTTAAGGATTTTTGAATCTACATTCATGAGCAAAACTGGAATATAATTTTCCTTTAACTTGGTGCCTGTCAGGTTTCCCCATCAGGGTTATTCTGTGCCTCATAAAAAGTTGAAGTGTTCCCTGTGACTGTCTCCCTTTCCCCAGTTTGTAAATATCTCATGAAGACAGGAAAGTTATCCTGGTAATATGTTTGGTTTAACTTTCCAAGGAAATCAGGGTAGTCTGGAGTCTTCTTTGTGGGTAGCCTTTGCACTACTTTTTCAATTTGTTTTTAAACGATTTCGGTTTTCTATTTCCCTGTACGCAAGCAAAGAAGTACCGGCCCAGGACTTCTCAATTCCGGTAAGCCGACTGCAGAAAACTGAAGCCACAACACAGGAAAATGCGCACAAAACAAGTCACTTCCGTCTAGGAAGTGACGGTGTAACCACGTCGGGCGCAGCGGGGCCTCAAAACCCCTTCTGCGGAAGCCGCGTTCTGACGTCACCACGCAGCCGAATACCCATAAGACCGCAACGAGCCGTATTGCATTGTGGGACACTTGTCCATACCCTGGGGGCTTAGTGCGTCAGTAAGGGGTTCTCCACAGTGACGTATGCACCTGTTCATTCCGCCTGCTCAAAATCTCTCCCCTCTATTAAGAACGGGGCCGTCCCATCTTAGAGGAACAAGAAAATGCTAGAGGATGGCGCCGGTTTTCGGTGACGCTGAAGGTAACAGAACCTGGCCCAGGGCCTGAAACCTATCAGAGACTCACGTGACTCACTGTTACTCTCCCACTGGTCCCTTTACTGAGGCGTGTGTGTGCGTGTGTGTCATATGACAGACTTCTGGCTCAGCTGTCACGTGACTGCCACGTCGCTTGCGACTTTGGAGACTACTAGCCTCTAGGGGGCGAATGTCTTTACCGCCTCTTTTCCCACTTTGGTTTCCCCGTTAGTAACGCATGCGCAGCATACGACTGCCGCCAGCTTTGTCTCCTGAACAGCTCGTTCACCATTTCTTCCTCCGGAGTCGGAAAGGCGCCCTTCTTTGGGCTCTTGAGAAGGTGGTCCGGAAGCTGGCGACCAAGGGTAGTTGTTCACCCTCATCTGCTGAGACTATAGAGGTCACCCCCACCCCAGGGTTGAAGTAAGGGTGCAGTGGGCAGGGCGGCGCAGCTGGGGAATCGGTCCTGCGTTGGGTGTTCTCTCAGAGCCAGAACTCGAGTGGGGAGCGCGCGTGCTAGTGACCCGTCATGCGGCTATGTCGCTGTCATCTTCCCTTTCCATTGGGTTATCCTGGGTGTGAGCCTGCGCCACACGAATGTATTCTCTCACTCAGGAGAACCACAGTCCACCCTCTCTTCCACTAATGTAAATCTAAGTTGGCCTGTTTTTGTTTGTTTGTTTGTTTGTTTTAGATTTTTAGCTACCCAGTTCAGGAAATACCTTCTATCTTGTCCGTGATTTCCATCGTAATCTCATGGTGCTAGGACTAATCCACCGTTGCCATCTTTAGGTATTTACCATTGTATTTGGCATCCCCCATCTTTTCATGATATTTGACTTGATTTGACATGATAACATTTTTAAAATTTTATTTAATTCCAAGTTAGTTAAAAAATAGTGTAATAATGGTTTCAGGAGTAGAATTTAGTGATTCATTACGCATAACACCTACTGCTCATCTCAACAATACCCTCCTTAATGCCCATCATGCCCCCACCCCCCTCCCAGCAACCCTCAGATTTTGTATTTAAGAGTCTTATGTTTTGCCTCCCTCTCTGTTTTTTTCTTATTTTTCTTGCCTGTATGTTCATCTGTTTTGCTTCTTAAATTCCCATATGAGTGAAATCATATATTTGTCTTTAACTTATTTCACTTAGCATAGTATGTTCTAGTTCCAACCAGGTTGTAGCAAATGGCAAGATTTCATTCATTTTGATCGTAATATTCCATTGTGTACACACACCACACTTTCTACATGCACTCATTCAGTCGTTGGACATTTGGGCTCTTTCCATAATTTGGCTATTGTTGATAGTGCTGCTATAAACATTGGGATGTATGTGCCCCTCCGAAACAGCATACCTGTATCCTTTGGATAAATACCTAGTATTACAATTGCTGGGTTGCAGGGTAGCTCTATTTTTAATTATTTGAGGGATTTCCATAGTATTTTCCAGAGCAGCTGCACCAGTTTGCATTCCCACCAACAGTGCAGAAGTGTCCCCCTTTCTCTTCCTCCTCTCTAGCTTTGGTTGTTTCCTAAGTTGTTAATTTTAGCCATTCTCACAGGTGTGAGATGATATCTCATGGTTTTGGTTTGTATTACCTGATGATGAGTGATGTTAAGCATCTTCATGTGTCTGTTAGCCATCTAGATGTAATCTTCGGAAAAGTGTCTGTTCATATCTTCTACCCATTTCTTCACTGGATTATTTGTTTTGTGGGTGTTGAGTTTGATACATTTCTTTACAGATTTTGGATACTAACCCTTTGTCTGTCATTTGCAAATATCTTCTACCATTCAGTTGATTGCCTTTTAGTTTTATTGTTTCCTTTGCTGTGCAAAAGCTTTTTATCTGGATGAGGTTCCAATAGCTCATTTTTACTTTTGTTTCCTTTGCCTCCAGAGACACGTCTAGTAAGAAGTTGCTGTGGCCAAGGGCAGAGAGGTTGTTGCCTGTTTTCTCCTCTAGGATTTTGGTGGTTTCCTTACATTTAGGTCTTTCATCCATTTTGAGTTTATTTTTGTGTATGGTGTTAGAAATTGTTCCAGGTTCTTTCTTCTGTAGATTACTGTTTGCTGAAGAGACTGTCATTTATCCGTTGGCTATTCTTTCCTGCTTTTTGGAAGAGTAGTTGGCCATACATTTCTGTATCCATTTCCGGGTTCTCTATTCTCTATTTTGTTCCATTGATCTATGTCTGTTTTTGTGCCAGTACCATACTCTCTTGATTACAGCTTTGTAATACAGCTTGAAGTCCAGAATTGTGATGCCTCCAGTTTTGGTTTTGTTTTTCAACATTACTTTGGCTCTTCGGGGTCTTTTCTGGTTCCATTCAAGTTTTAGAATTGTTTTTTCTAGCTCTGTGAAGAATGATGGTGTTATTTTGATAGGGATTAGCTGAATGTGTAGATTGCTTTGGATAGCATTGACATTTTAACAATATTTTTTCTTCTAATCCAGAGGCATGGAATGTTTTTCCATTTGTGTCTTCTTCAATTTCTTTCATAAACTTTCTATAGTTTCCAGATACAGATATTTTACCTCTTTGGTTAAGTTTATTCCTAGGTATTTTATGGTTCTTGGTACAGTTGTAAATGGGATTAATTCCTTGATTTCTCCTTCTGCTGCTTCATTATTGGTGTATAGAAATGGCCACAGATTTCTGTACATTGATTTTATATCCTGCAACTTTGCTAAAATCATGGATCAGTTCTAGCAGTCTTTTGGTGGAGTCTTTCAGGTTTTCCATGTAGAGAGTGAAAGTTTGACTTCTTTCATACTGATTTGGATGCCGTTTATTTCTTTTTGTTGTCTGATTGCTGACTCTAGGACTTCCAGTACTATGTTGAGCAACAGTGGTGAGAGTGGACATATCTGTCATATTCCTTTTTTAAAAAATATATATATTTTTAATGTTTATTTATTTTTGAGAGAGAGAGAGAGAGAGAGAGAGAGAGAGAGAGAGAATGCAAACGGGGGCTGGGCAGAGAGAGAAGGAGACACAGAATCCAAAGTGGGCTCTAGACTCTGAGCTGGGCCCACTAGGCCCCAATGCAGGGCTCAGACTCATGAACCATGAGATTATGACCTGAGCCGAAGCTGGACACTTGACCAACTGAGCCACCCAGGTGACCCTCCTGTCGTATTCCTGACCTTAGGAGGAAAGCTCTGTTTTTCCCCATTGAGGATGATATTAGCTGTGGGTCTTTTGTATATGGCCTTTATGATGTTGAGGTTTGTTCCTTCTATCCCTACTTTGTTGACTTTGTTGAGGGTTTTTATCCAGAAAGGATGCTGTATTTTGTCAAATGCTTTTTCTGCATCTATTGAGAGGATCATGTGGTTATTATCCTTTTATTAATGTTATTTATCACATTGATTGATTTGTGGATATTGAACCATTCCTGCAGTCCAGGAATAAACCCCACTTGATCATGGTGAATAATTATTTTAATGTATTATTGGATTCGATTTGCTAGTACCATGTTGAGAATTTTTGCATCTGTCTTTATCAGGGAAATGGTCCATAATTCTCCTTTTTAGTGGGGTCTTTGTCTGGTTTTGGGATCAAGGTAATGCTGGTAATACACAGAATCTGAAGCAGGCTCTGAGCTGTCAGCACAGAGCCTGACATGGGGCTCGAACCCACAAACCGTGAGATCATGACCTGAGCTGAAGTCAGATGCTCAACTGACTGAGTCACCCACGTGCCCCTAAAAATCCAGTCTATTTTTAAGATAAGTTTGGTAAAAGTCTTTTAGTCATATCATTAAAAAATTAAAATGTAGAAAAGTATATAGTGAAAAATCTGTTTCACATCCTTACAGCCTATTTGCTCAATTTCCAATGCACCCCATCCCAAAGACAGCTAGTTGGGAGGTTATGGTAGTTTATGCTAGTTGGCTAGACAACTAGTTGGGAGCCAAGGAAATACAAATACACTTATTTTCCTACTTTCTTTTTTTTACACACAAAGAGTAGCCTAATATACATAATGTTCTGCATCCTACTTTTTTTTTTCGTTTAAAAACATTTTTGAGGGGCGCCTGGGTGGCTCAGTCAATTGAGTGTCCAGCTTCGGCTCAGGTCATGATCTCGCAGTCTGAGTTTCGAGCCCCGTGTCGGGCTCTGTGCTGACAGCCCAGAGCCCGGAGCCTGCTTCAGATTCTGTGTCCCCCTCTCTCTCTGCCCCTCCCCCACTCATGCTCTGTCTCTCTCTGTCTCAGAAATAAATAAACATTAAAAAAAATTAAAAAAAAATAAATAAAAAATAAAAACATTTTTGAGATTCATACGCATATACAATGTTATCACTTTTTGTACAGCTGTACAGATTCCATGGTATGGCTATACTATGTGGTTTGTTTTTTTTTTATTTTTTATAACCAGTCCCCTATTGATAGCCATTTGGGATTGTCTATTATGAACAATGCTGTAATGAAAAAAATTGTTGTTGTGCAAATTTATGATGATACAAATTCCTAAAAGACCATTTCTGTGTTAAAAGTTATATGTATTTGAAATTTTGATAAATGCCAACTGCCTTCTGTAAGCGTCATACTAATTGAATTTCCACTACCAATGTGTATATATTTTCCGATAGTCTTATCAACAAAATGTTAGCATACTTATTTCATTTGATGACTTGATAGATTGTCATGATATCACATATTTTTAATTTTCATTTCTCTTGGGAAATGAGCATCTTATATTTAAGAGCCATGTATATTTTTTCTTTTCTGGGAACTCAGTGTAAACCGTTGTCAATTTTTCTATTGATTTGTTTTATTCATTAATTTTTAATGTATTTTTAGTTCTTTTTTTTTTTTAATTTTTAATGTTTATTTTTGAGAGAAAGAGCAAATGCATGGGAGGGGCAGAGAGAGAGGGAGACACAGAATCAGAAGCAGCCTCCAGATTCTGAGCTGTCAGCACTCATGGGGCCTGAACTCATGAATTGGGAGATCATGACCTGAACCAAAGTCAGAGGCTTAAATGACTGAGTGAGTCAGGTACCCAAATATACATGCTGCTTCTTAATAAAAGGACCTGCAGCAGAGATAATATGATTGGGAAAATTGAAAGGAAAATTTTCTGCCAAGCTTAATTCATTTGCTGTGATGGAGCATATTTCAGTCTGAGCTTCTATCAGCTATGGCAAAAAGGGAAAGGTATTTGGCAAAAGGAAACAAATAGAAAACCTTTAGTGGGTTCTAAAAATTCTCAACGAACTATAAAGCTATAAGAGGAATCCATTACCCTGACTCTGTTTTGTTTTTTCCCCCTAGAACAAGACAAATTCATAGGAAAAATGGAAAAGCAAAAGTTCTGATGTTTTGCTTTTGATTTCACCAACTCCAGGTGTTTTCTTTTTAGAAAGGTAAGAAATTTATCTCAGAAACTAACAAATACGCTGTGCTTGAAAGATTCATTCTCACTTATATTGCTGAAAAGCATCTCTAACAATTCAGCTAAAATAAGAATGCTTACCTGTCTAGTATTTTTTATTTATTTATTTAAATTATTTATTTATGTATTTAAGTAATCTCTACAGCCAAAGTAGAGCTTGAACTCATGACTCTGAGATCGAGAGTTGCATGCTCCTCTGACTGAGCCAGCCAGGCGCCCCCACGTGTCCAGTATTTGATTCAACTGAAAATGGACACCAGAAAATCCCTTTCTTTTTAATAAATTAAATAAAAATAATTTAAAATGAGTACTTTTGAAAGCACTGATACTATAAAAGGTAATACTAAAAAATAAAGGTCCAGAAGAAAACAAAATACTTGGAAACTTACAAGATGGTATAGGGACCATTTGGAACTCCAAGGTCAGTATGAAGATTATTTTAAGCTGAAGACATTTGAGAATCAATATGTGCAGAAAGAAGCCTTCTCAGAGCTTCCCTTATCTAACTAAAAGCAGAAACTTCTGGGAAGTGAGGCTGCAAGAATTTCCCTGTCAGGGTCAGCCTACCCCAAGGAGAGAAATCAAGAGTAAACCTACTATAAATCCCTTTCCCAGAAGAGTTTTATGGCCATGAAAAGTAAGGAAAACCACTCACAGCAGCATAAACAAACTATCACAAAGGTTCTTTCCAGATTGTTTTTTAAAAACCCATTTGTTTTTCTTAAGTAAATCTCTTTATTCTTCCCACAAAGTCTGTTTTTCTCTACTAAATTAGGTTAGCCTCTGACTAACTGTTCAATGAGCTAGATTCCTCCTTTATTAACACCATATGCCTATGAATAAACCTTAATTATCAGATCCCCAGTTGCTGAACTTAAAAGGGTGGAGGAAGTTTTTCCTCTCTAACAGTGGTCAAAGGGACAGCAGTTTTTTCAATGAGGAAAAGAAAATGGGGTGGTGGTGCAGGGAACTTCAAATATTTTCCAAAAAGAGGAAATCTAAATGGATCATAAACAAAGCCTTTTAGTTTCATAAATATCCAGAAAAGGCAAATTTAAATCACCCTTCTGATTGACAAATATTAAGAATCTGACAGTACCCAGTGTTTGGCAAGAATGGTGAACAACAGGAACACTCAAACACTGCTGGACAGAGTGTAAATAGACGCAACAATTTTACAAACAGCTTGACATTTTCTAAAAAATTGAATATACAGATATTCTAGGACCCAGCACTTTCACTCCCAGCTATACACTCACCCTTGCTACTCAACTGCGGACTATACACCAGAAACTTCAGCATTTCCCAGCAACTTGTTAGAAATGTAAATTTCTGGGCCTTACTATAGATCATATGAATTAAACTCTGCATCTTAACAAGATCTTGAGTGATACATAAGCACCTGTGCCCCAGGATCCATGGACAAGAATGTTCTTGATAGCTACAAACAAATAATCCCTTTATCTATGAACAGGAGAAAGTATGCTATATTCATAAAATATATGAAAATTATATGTTAATGAAAAGGAACAAATTACAGTTAAATGCAACATGGATAAGTATCACAATGTTGAGAGAAATAAGTAAGACAAAAAAATACATAGACTATAATTCATATATGTAATCTTCAGTAACAGTTACAACCAAACTGTGCTGTTTATGTATGATAAGGTACATTAAGGTAATGATACTAAAAAGGGGAGAAAGTAAAGCAAGAAATTGATTCAGGGTGAAATCAGGGTGGAATTTCTCCAGAGGAGAGGGGTGAGTTGTGATCTTGGAGGGAGGGAGGCAGTTGTAGGGTGCTTACACAACAGGCGTATGTGTTGGATAGTGTCTAAAGTGTTTCTATTTTATAAGTATTTAAATGGTATATAAGTTCTGTGTAGTTTTCAGTATGTGTGTTATATTTCACATTAGATAAATAAATGCTATAGACTTATTTCCAACGATATCTGGATGGCTGACAATGAGAAAAATAATAAACAGGAAGTAACAGCAAAGTAAATTGGCACTGGATAGACTAGAAAAAGAAAAACCAAGGCCTCCCAGTGTTTGTTCTATTGAAAATAAGGCCTTTTTTTTTT